GGCGTTGGCAGGAAAATACAAACAAATAAAATCCACAGAAAGCTAAAATTTCCCTTAATTATGGACTTCTAGACATTCAGGAATGGAAGGGACCTTAAAAGCCATTGTATCCAAGCCCTCAGACCTTATCTCCCCAATCCAGGGCAGGAGGGCATCAAGTGGTGGCTTTCAAACTTATGTGGCCACCATCAATGGCTTATTAAAATTCAGATCCCTGGGCTCTACTCTGTGGAGATGCACCAGTGTTAGGTCAGGAGAATGACCCGGGAATTGGCATTTTCATCAGTTCTCTAGCGGTATTCTTGGCCTCAGAGAAGCATCAGCTAATTGGTTGAGACTACAGGCTGTGGAGCTAATTAGGCCAGTGACTGTAGTACCCTATCTACTCTCTAGGGAACCTGGGCCAATTGGTGTAATACCTCTGAGCTTCTATTTACTTGTCTATAAATTGGGGATTTTAATAACACCTCCCTCCCAGCGTTGTTGAAGAGATAATATAAGACAGTAAGTATATATAGCATGTAGGCATACCAAAGTGCTATATGTTAAATATCATCACCCCTGGGTCCACTCAGATGGATACCCAACTTTCCTAGACCATCTGTCAGGAAGGTGAACTCACTGCCTTCAAAAGCAGCCTTTTTCATCTCTGGACTTCTCTGCCTAAGAAGGCTCCCCAGACTGTTGAAATCTGCTCCCCTCTTCTCTATACCCAGAAGCTCAAGCTCTGGTTTCGGGGTCCAAGTTGAACAAGCACCATCCTTCACATGCCCAGACCTCAAATATTTGAAGACAGAGGTCCAGCCCCTGAAAAGGCGCTTCCCAAATCACAGAGATCAGGGAGTGCCCAGGTCTTGTCTTGAAGGAAACAAAAAGCAAGTCCTATTTTAAGGGACCTTGGCAATTTCCACTGCTCTGGGTTCACAGCATCTAATCTCATTTGCCAATAGATCTCAGATTCCAAAGGAGCCCCTGTGTGACATAGCTGAGCTCTTGGGACAAAACGGAGGGGTGCTGTCATCAGCATTGCCGATTGAGTTCCCCCAACAAGTGGGCACTTGTTATGCCTTGCAGACGGATCTCCCAGGAAAGATGTCTTCCTCTACTGATTGGGGGGTGGTGGGGAGGGAGGACAAATGACAAAAGCTTCAGCTCCCCTCTATCATTCCCCCACTGCAGTCCCCCTATCAAGCCACCATCACCTCTCACACAGCTGACCACACAGCCTCCTCCTTGGTCTCCCCACTTCCTTTCTTGCCATCCTTCTGTGTTAAGGATGCCTTTTATTTTCTACAGTCTAGAGTTTTGACATCTTGGGGCTTCGCTGACCCTGGAGGAATTGTCCCTCCCCGAGTTAACTAGCAATGATTCACCTGTCAGGGTTCGTGCACAAAGTAACGAATCCAGAGTCAATCTCCACCTGTTCTCATCACCCCCAGGGCCAAGTACCAGACAGCCCCTGTGCCCCAGAACCCGCTGACATTATTCAAACTGGCCAGTCCCCAGCCTGCTTACCCTGCCTCACCTGTTCTTTCCTGTGGAAGCCAGGATAAGGGCTCTTGCCCACCTTTCCCCCTCCACTCCCTCTGCCTTTTTACCAACTCAGGTGCTTCCCCTTATGGCGCCTGAGGTGTGGCGGGCTCCTCTTACAATCTGGGAGTATTACAGGGTATATTTTTTCCCCCAGCAGTCGTCTCTTGATCTGCGGGCCTTGCTATACCTAAATAATAATAAAATCATATTTTAAAACGCTCTCCACAATCTGTTCCTCCTCTTGTGGAAACATGTGCCTAATGAGTTATCTTCTCAAGCTCAACTCTAATCATCTTCCACCCTCTCTAGCCTGCTTGAAAGCTTTCGGTGGCGGCCCCTTGGTCTCAGCAGAACATGGAAAATCCTCACTGTAGTGTCCAGAGTTCTGTGTGATCTGGCCTGTCTCTCCAACCTCCACACCTTGGTCCTGCCTCCGGGCCTTTGCACCAGCCATTCTCCCTGCTCTACCCCCCTCCACCATCTGTGCACCACCTTCCTTGCCCTCCTGATCTCAGCCTCCTTAGGGAGGTCTACTCTGACTCCTCCTTCCTCCAGTTGTTCTTTATCTTGACACCCCTTTTGTTTCCCTCTCAAGATCGATGCATGTGCAAATCCATTACAGTTTCTTTGTTATCATCTTTCCAAATAGAGCACCAGCCCCATAAGGGCAGGGACCACATCTATTATTTTTGTCCCCTTTGGTATCTATCCCAGCACTCAGCACACGGTCAGCACTCACTCGGTAAACACTGAAATACTGAACGATTGTGCCAGACACTCTGTCTATATTGACTCCTTTCGTCTCCATGGCAACCCTGTGAGGTGGGCATTACCGTCTCCATCCAATCAGGGAGGAAACGAAGACTCACAGAATTGAAGTAACCTACCCAGGGTCACACAGCAATGGAGGGGCATGACAGGGGATCCAAACCCAGGTCGGTCTGTTTGCCAGAGTTGGACTCTCTTCCCCCTGGGCCAGACCACCTCTCTTCATGACAGGACACTAAATGCTACCCTGTGAAAATCAGTTAGGAGTAAGCTGCCTTTTTGGTCTGGTAGATTCATCAACTCAGAGGATCAAAGTCCAGAAGCTCAGATGAAAAGAGAAGAAACTTCCTTATCTGAAATACCCTAACTGAGTCTCAGACCCTAATTTAAGGTACTGGAGCGAATTACATGATGGTACAAACAAGACCTTTAAGTTGACAGCCATCTCCTCGAGCTCTTCTCTTCTTTAAATAGCAAAATTATGTGAAATAAATGTTCTCTGCTATTTTGGTAAATTACATGCTGTATATATACAACAAATGCCAAGAAATTGTGAGCCAACCTGTTTCAGAGCCCCCATACACTTTAACGTACGTCACTGCGATTTTTCTCTCGTATCACATTTCCTGCCGCCCCACCCCCACCCCCCGCCCCCTTGGGAAATCTCAGCTCCGATGGTTGATAAATACTTTTAGGAACCAGACCAATTCAAAATGCAGTCTGGCCAATTTCTGAGTGTAATTTAGTGTCAAAGGTCTCTCTGTACGTCTGTCTTAAAACAAGTTTTCCTAAATAAAGGTGCCTTGGCTTCTAGTGGTGTGCCTGTTCACAAGAATGTGAACAGATCCTGGTCTACGAATGCAGAGAGGTAAGCCACTTTCTCGGAGTCACATTCCACAAAGGTCCGAATACTCCGAGCTCAAGCCGAAAGGTGACTTGAGTGGGGCCAGGTCAAAGGAAGCTCAATGCCCATGATTTTCCCCTTAACCTTCATAAGCAGTCCTGCGATCCCATTGTCATTCCCATTCCACAGATGAACGCATCTGTAACAGGCTTAGCAGATGCCACATGATCAACAAGAGCTCTGTAAATAGTTGCTATTGTTATTTATACGGATTACTAAAGTAATAGATGCGCAGGTTAAAAGTGGCAAACATTGCAGAAAGGTCTAAAATGAAAAGTAAAAAAAAAATTTCCTTCCCATGCAAAAAGTCCCCATTTCCAATACAGTCCTTCTCCCCAGAAGCAACCAGTCTGGTTTCTTAGGGATCCTTCCAGAACGCCTAGGACTGTAGAACCATAAATACTCCACAGCTGTGCTTCTCAGACTTGAACACGCACACAAATTTTCTGGGGACCTGGTTAAAATGCAGATGCTGACTCAGTAGGTCTGGGTCAGGGCCTGGGACTCTGAATTTCTAAAAAGCCTGTAGGGGATGCTGGGGACCCTGGTTCAAGACCACATTTAAAGCTCAGTAACAGAGGACCTAGATCACGGGACCATTTTCTAGTGTATTTAATAATAAACCCCAGAGCACCTGAGTGGCTCAGTCGGTTAAGCATCCGACTCTTGATTTCAGCTCAGGTCATGATCTCAGGGTCATGAGATAGAGCCCCAAGTCAGACTCTGTGCTGGGCGTGGAGCGTGCTTAAGATTCTCTCTCTCCTTCTCCCTCGGCCCCTCCCCCCACCCCTGCTCCCACTCTCTCTCTCTAAAAAAATAAAATAATAAGCCTCAACAATCTCTTCCTGTTGGCTCTTACAGATCAACTCTTGTGTATGTGTGTGTGTGTGTTTGTTGTGGTAAAATATACATAAGAGAAAATTTACCATTTCGACAATTTTAAGCATACAGTTAGCAGTGTTAAGTACGTTCACACTGTTGTGCAACCATCACCACCGTCCATCTCCAGAACTTTTCATCTTCCCCAACTGAAACTGTCCTCATTAAGCACTAACTCTCCCTTTCTCAAGCCCCTTGGTAATTGCTATTCTACTTTCTGTCCCTGTGAATTTGACTATTTTAGGCCCCCTCGCATAAGTGGACTCACACAATATTTGTCTTTTCAGGTCAGACTTATTTCATTTAGCAGAATATCTTCAAAGTTCATCACAGTGTGGCATGTGTGAGAATCTCCTCTTTTTTCAAGGCTGCTTAATATTCCATTGTATGTACACACCACACTTTATCCATTCATCCATCGATCGATGGACACTTGTACTGTTGTGATATTGTGATACGGATCAACAAACAAAAATTTTTTTTCACATTTTCCTAAGTGGGTGTGCCATAATCTATGCAACCATTCCTCTCCTGATGATTGTTTCTGGTTTTGCTGCAAACAGCACCAGAAGGAACTATAGCAGAGTGGCTGGGAGTGGGGACTCTGCAGTCAGGTGGCTTTGCCAACTTCTGGCTTAGACACTTGCTGTGTGACCTTAGGTGAGCTCCTGGCCTCTCTGGGTGTGACTGTCCTCATCTGTAAAATGGGATTAGTGACAGCGAAGATGACGTGAGGGAAATCAATGGAGAGCACAAACATGGCACTTGACACATGGCAGGCTAACAACGCGTATCAGTCGTTGTTTGCACGGTAAGTCAACGTCTACTCGTGTCTGTGCCTGCAAAGCATTGCCAACAGCACAATTCTGAGTGGGAGCACAGAGCACTTAAAATTTTTAAAGCTATCACAGAGTACCTTCCCCAAAGTCGCAGCGGTCACTTTTCCTCCATGGAAACGAGGTGTGGAACTCCAGACAGTCCTTGAGGAGAGGATGTGATGCAAGCAGAATTCAGGGAAGGTTATCAGGCTGCAGAGTCATTTCCTTCTGTGAGATTCCCCTCAGAGTCAAGGGTGTCCATCGACCTTTCCTTCATCCCTGAAAGTGAGGTGATAATGCACATAAATGTCCATGTCCCTCCCTCATCTGATACTTCTCTATATTTCCATCTCCCAAGAATACCTTGGGGCCTGTTTATGTTTCTGATTAGGGGGTTTCTTCTTGGGGACAGGGAGTCCCACTTATTTGCAATTCTTTCCCATTTACTCAGCGGACTGCAGAGTGGAAATGTCACCCCCACCCCCAGCTAGCCTTTCATGCAGTTTGTTATTTGTAGCAGTTCTCAATGTACAAGATAGATATGTAGTGATACACACACACACACACACCCCTTTTTAAATGCCTGCCCCCTTCCCCAGCAGACTATGAACACCACAGGAAGGAGCCTAAGTCTGTTTGGCTCACCTTTGAAATCCCAGCATTACCTTTGGACTTGCTACAAGGCAGGTGCTCAATAAAATATTTGTTGAATAAATGAACCAATGGATTCTAGTCACATTGGTGGCTGTATTAAGGGTTGAGGATTTTTTTTTTTTGGATAGTGACATACACCTAACATAAATTTATCATTTTAATCATTTATAAGTGTACAATTCTGTTGCAATAAATACATTCACTGTTGTGCAACCGGCACTACCATCCATCTCCAGGACTGTTTCATCTTCTCAAACTGAAACTTTGGCCCCATTAAACACTAACTGCCTATTCCTCCTTCCCCAGCCCCTGGCAATCGCTATTCTACTTTGTCTCTATGAAATTGACTACTCTGAGTGTCTCAAATGCAGAATCATACAGTATTTGTCATTCTGTGACTGGCATATTTCACTTAGCATGACGTTTTCAAGGTTCACCCCTGTTGTAGCACGCATCGGTCCTTCCTTCCTGTCTAAGACTGAATAGTAGTCCATTGTGTGTATGGACCACATTTTGATTATCCATCCATTCAGCTACTGATAACCCCCTGGATTGCTCCCACCTTTGGGGCTATCATGAATAACGCTGCAGTGCACATGGGTGTACATTCACAATGGTGTGTGACTGTCACCTCTATCTGGTTCCAGAGAATTTTCATCACCCCAAAAGGAAGCCCTGTATCATTAGGGAGTCACTCCCCATCCCCCCTTCCCCAGCCCCTGGCAACCACTAAACTGCTTCCTGTCTCGTCTCTGCATTTGCCTGTTCTGGATACTTCACCTAAATGGAATCCTACAACATGCGACCTTTTGTGTCTGGCTTCTTTCACTCAGCATAACATTTCAAGACCCCTGCGTGTTGTAGCAGGTGTCAGTGGCTTCAGGACTCCTATACAGTGGCGTGCTACGGCCTACTCATACCAGCTCTAAGAGCAGATTGATTGTTAAACGTTCAGAAATTTTTGGAGCCTGTTATTTAACCATTGACAGGTTGAAATGGGTCACCCTGGAATATTGTCGTATGCTACACATCCTTATGGTTTGGGGGGTTTTATTTGACATTCCGTTTATAGGCATACCGCTGGCTTGAGAATACGCCCATGCTCTCCATCAGCAGGCCCCCTAAAGCTACCTCCAATAAATACATACTCAGAATAAAACCGTATTCTTGTTGGCAAAGGCTGCTGAAGTGAAGCCCCAGACCCCAACTTCTAACCAGATTTCTGGGCCTAGGGAAGTCTGTCTCCTGGACTTTGCTCCCAGGTGACACCTGTCTCCCGGCTCTCAGGGACACTCCAGCTCCAGGTGGCAGGGACATTTGTCTGAGTCTGTATCTCGGGGGTTCTGGGCCTGTCGGATGAGGCAGGCACCCACCTCAGCCAACAGAGCAGGGGTTCCGTTCCTTGGCACAACTGCTTCATGATCGGCATGGGGCAGGAAGACAGCAGAATCGTTCGTCTGGCTCAGATGCACTAAATCAGTCCCCAGATCAGCAAGAGCAGCACCACCCGGGAACGTGTCAGAAATGCAAAATCTCAGTTCCTGGCTAAGACCTTCTGAATCAGACCCTCTGGGAGTGGGGCCCAGCCACCGGTATTGTGACCAGCCTTGTGGGGGTTCTAAGGCTCCATCCAGATCAAAACCCCTGCACAAATGTGATGAACTGCAGAGTTGTCAGCCAGACTGGAATGAACTGTGCTTTTTGATTCCTGCTCTAGAACATTTCCCCCTGTCTGACAAGTCTCCTACACAGGTCAGTTCCGTTCAGGCCTCATGTTCATTCCCCAGACACATGTGAATTCTGGGGAGAGAAACTGATGCCCAGTGATCAAGACCTAGGACTCTAATAGGAAAGCCAACCAGGTTGATCCTCAACTCCTTCAAGCTGTGTGACCTTGAATGACTGCCTTAACCTCTCTGTCCTCATCCGTAAAATGGGGACAATAACAATACCTAGTTCATAGGTGAGTTGTCAGGGTGAAAGGCTTATAGCATAGCTCTGCAGATAAAACAGGTGCTCAGTAAAAATAGCTGTATGGTTTGAGAGCTATTATTTAAGAACTTTGAGGGAGGGGAATTCAATGTTTGTACGGTGCTTTAGACTTGTCGGCCTGATCACTCTGGAGGGGCTTATTTGTAGCAGACGCCATTGGTGCCTGTCTTAGATCCCCTTTACTGGGCTGGTGCATCTCCCAGGTGCCTCCAGGGTTGGCTGCTGATAGCTCACAGCTGCAGTCTGTTCTGGAAGATTGTCCGTAGCCGAGAGGAGCTGCCTCATTGGGGGACAACCTGGGAGGTTATGCCCTCCACCCCTGGGGTGATGTGCCAATGCCTGACTCATGTAAGCCCAGCCCTCAGACCTCTGGGTGGGACCCTCTCCGTGGCATAATTCCCATCCCAGAGCTCCCCATCGGATAGGATTCCAGCAGAAACCACCTACCCATTTAGCTTGTCCCCCTGCCTGGTCCTGTCACCCTCACTTCCCAATGGGAACGCTTCCTTAACAAATCATTGCACAAGAATCCCCAACTCATTTTTGCCGAAATGGAAGACTTTATCATAAAATTCATTTGACATCTCAAGGGACCCAGAATAGCCAAAGCAATTTTGAAAAATAAGAACAAAATTAGAGGCCTCATACTTCCTGATTTCAAACCTGACTACAAAGCTGCAGCAATGAACACAGCGTGGTAGTGGCCTAAGGAAAGACAGATGGAATGGAATGGAGAGCTCAGAAATAAACCCTCACATATACGGCCAAGTGATTCTTGACAAGCGTGCCAAGACTGTTCGATGTGGGTGAAGGACAGTCTTCAACAACTGGTGCTGGGAAATCTGGATATCCACCTGCAAAGTAAGGAAGTTGGACCCTCACCTTATACCATATGTGAAAGTCAACTCAAAATGGATCAAAGACCTAACCCTATGAAAAGCTCTTAGAAGAAAATATAAGGAAAAAGACTCGTGGTATTGGGAGATGGCTGGACTATATCACAATTAAAAACTTGTGTGCATCAGAGGACACAGTCAACAGGGTTAAAGGCCAACCTGCGGAATGGGAGAAAATATTTGCAAATCACATCTTAGATAGGAGACTGATATCCAGAATATATACCACCAACAACGAAAACCCCCATTTAAAAATGGATAGAAGACTTGAACAGACATTTATTTCAAAGAAGATACACAAATGGCCAATAAACACATGAAAAGATGATCAGTTTTGGGGAAACTCCAATCAAAACCACAATGAGATACTTTTCACACCCATTATAATGGCTTTTATCCAAAGAATGAAACACAGTAATATTGGCAAGGATGTAGAAACATTGGAACCTCCCTTCACTGATGATGGGAATATAAACTGGTGCAGCTGCCTTGGGAAAGAATATGCAGCCTCCTCAAAAAATTAAACATAGAATTATCATATGATCCAGCAATTCCACCTCTGGGTATAGAACCGAAAGAAGTGAAAGCAGGGACTAAACAGATATTTGCACACCCACGTTCATAGCATTATTCATAACAGCCAAAGGCAGAAGCATCCCAAGTGTCCACCGATGCATAAATGGTTTAAAAATTGTGGTATAGCCATGCAATGGAATATTATTTAGCCTTGAAAGGGGAAGGACATTCTGACACATGCTACAACATGAATGAGCCTTGAGGATGTTACTCTAGTGAAAGAAGCCAGTCGCAAAAGCACAAATACTGTATGATTCCACTTAGTGAGGCACCTAGAGCAGGCAAATTCATAGACAGAAAGTCGAGTGGTGGTTAACAAGGGCTGGAGGGAGTGGGGAATGGGGTGCTAGTGCTGGATGGGTAGAGTTTCAGCTTGGGAAGATAAAGAATTCTAGAGATGGATGGTGGTGATGGTTGCACAACAGTGTGAACATGCTTAATGTCACAGAATTATACACTTACAACTGGTGAAGATGACACATTTTATTTTGTGTATACTTGACCACAACTGAAAAAAAAAAGAATCCTACCTTAGGCTCTGCTTCTAAGGAATCCAATTTATGCCACAATTATCACACCCAATTTAGAGAGGAGATACACTGAGGCTCAGAGTGACTTTAGATATATCTTAGCCAGGTGGGAATGATAATAGTCACCACCACTTGGTTTCTGTGAGGATTAAGTCAAATAATGATGCCCGTAAAGATCACTGATCAAGGATGAGCATTACCCATGAAGATGTGGGAGAAGGAAACCAGAAAGGAGTCACGGTGACTTCAACTGAATTATGGTCGAATGTTGGCAATTTTCCATGGTTCAACCTTATAGAAGTGTTTGGTCCTTAGGCTGGACGGGCAGAAGCAAAAATATTTCTGTCATTGTTTTCTATATAATTGTATATGCTTTAAACATCTCAAAATAAAATATTTTTATGGAATAAAAATTAGAGTAGGTAGGGAGCAATAGAAGGGTTTGGAGGGGGAGCATCCTGTTTTTGGCTGGGAATACAAGGGTTTGATCTGACATGCATCAGGCAGAACCCTGGCTCAGTGTCTCTTGAGCTGTGTGACTGTGGGTGAGTCACATGACGTCTAGGGCCTCCATTTTTCTTGTCTGGAAAGGGGTGGTCATGATCCCAACCTCAGCAGATCAAGTGCATGGAAAATGCCATCTAGCACCGAGCTAGCACAGAGCTGGAACATGAGCTTGATGCTGCTGGACCGTGGTGGTGGTGCTAGATGGGATGGAGTGTTAGCTCCAGGCTTCAGTGGGACCCGACCGCCTGCAAACCCAGGGCTCTGTGCTCCGCGCTATGGTTCTAGCCCAAGCTTTCCAGGCCCCAACCTTGTCAGCGAGTGGGAGTTCAGGTATTTACAAAATTGCTGTGATTTCATCTATGGTTTTCTCCTCTCCAAGTTTACCCTTTCTATGCCAGAGCCCCATTTATTCTTTGGTGAAATACATGGAAGAATGCAAGTTAATTAATTAAGTAATAAATAATAATAATAATAATAATAATAGCAGTATGTTTTACTTAGATATTTCTCCTGTTTTACCTTGTTAAAACACTGCCCAAATTTGCCCCCTAGCCATTCATGTCCATGACATCCCAGACTTCTTTTTTCAAAGCCCTGATAAGAATGGGCATTACTCATTTAATATCACTCTCTTGGGGCGCTTGGGTGGCTCAGTCTGTTAAACGTCTGCCTTCAGCTCAGGTCATGATCTCAGGGTCCTGGGATGGAGCCCCGTGTTGGGATCCCTGCTCAGTGGGGATTCTGCTTCTCACCCTCCTGTGTGCGCGCGCTCTCTCTCTCTCGCACTTGCTCTCTCTCAAGTAAATAAATAAAAGATATTTTTTAAAAAATATCACTCTCCCCTGTGATGGGAGGGACACTCTATCTTGTCTCTGCTGTGACCCCCAAACCCAGCACAGGACAGATAGCAGCAGGAGTTTTGTGTTTGGGAGTGAGGGGTTGGAAAGACACAGGTAATTTCGCTGCTGAGCCCCTAGATGAAGAGATTGCTGCTCAGAGAAATCAAGCCTTGTCCAAAGTAACAAGAAGTAGCATAATTTGAAGGAATGTATGCAAAATGGAGTCAATGGGTCTCAAACTCAAAGGCCTACAAGGCCAGACAAATGGATAAGTGCCAAGTAAGAGGAACACAAAACACATGTGAAGATAAATGGCAAGAGACCCTCAGGGCTAGAGGTAATTTGGAGAGGAAGAGATTGTGATCAACGTGGTGCGTCCTGTCTACAGGGAGGACAGATCTAGCCACACGGATCCCTTACAGGAATGTGGGCCCCAGATGACCAGATACTCTACTCTTTTTTTTTTTTTAACTCCACTCAATGTGGAGCTCGAACCCACAACCCTGAGATCAAGAGTTACATGAGCCAGCCAGGTTCCCCAGATACTTTACTTTTGGAAGAGACATGAGGAATCTGGCTTTTTACATTAATTCTCCCAATTTAAAAACATGGGCATCCACTTTAAGTTAAAAAAATACTGTGTGGGCAATTTTTTGTGGGCATAATGTAACCCCTAGGTAACCAAATTGTTACCTCCATTCCATACAGAGAGACAAATCTAAATTCTGAAACACATGTGATTCCAAACAGTATTTACATCTAAAACAAAAAATTCTCTTTGACATCGCCTAACATGTGAGTAGGGCCCCCCCCTGGAGTTGTGCAGTGCCCAACCTATACAAATGTATGTGACAGCCCTGATATGCAACTCTTGAAGCTGTCACACACCCCACCAGTCCAACTCAATAGAAATGCCAATGCCCCTCCCCCCACATCCATTCTATTCTCTGGACCATTAGGAAAAGCCTTTCACCTGTCTTGGGCCCAAGAGCTGTGCAGCAAAGCCACTGAAGCGACGTTCTAGCTATCATGACCAGATTTGCTCTGTCCTCTAGGGTGGTGAAATTCCGTCGCACGGGCGAGAGTGCAAGGTCAGAGGATGACGCAGCTTCGGGAGAGCATGAGGTCCAGATTGAAGGGGTCCGCATGGGCCTAGAGGCCGTCGAGCTGGATGATGGGGCAGCTGTGCCCAAGGAGTTTGCTAATCCCACTGACGGTGAGAGGGTTCTGCAGTTGGGACATCAGCCTGGACCACAGTCAGGGGCTCTGAAGTGCCAGTTATCTCCCCAGATCTTGCTTTCAGAGGCATCTAGTGAAGGGGGAGGTAGGAGGGCCCGGAGGGCCCAGAAGTGATGCTGGAAGTGTGGGCTGGGCCTACATGGCTTCCTCCAGCAGATAAGGTTACATCACAATCCCCACCAGTCAGCTTCATTGCATAACACTCAGCTGAGGGCAGCAGCAACAATGATGGTGATGATGGTGATGATCATGGTGGTGGCAATGGTGATGATGGTGGTGGTGGTGGTGGTGCTGGTGGTGGTGGTGATGATGATGGTGAGGAGGAGGAGGATGATAGTGAGGATGATGATGGTGGTGGTGGTGGTGCTGATGATGGTGATGATCATGG